TATTTGAATGTAACTATGTGAACTTTGAATTTTGAATGAGAAGCAATCCAGACGATCAATCGGATCCTGTGTCTAATTCTTGCTGCTGCACTTCTCTGTTTTCTACAGAAATAATTTATTGTTGCTGTGGTACCCAAACTTTTGGGATCCGTAACAAACTTAATTAGAAAACGTACATGACAACATTATCCGAGGGAATTTAAGCTAGCTAACAGTGGCAAAATGTTAGGTTGCATTCACATCAGCAGAGGTCCCACGGCCCAACTGCACCGACGCGCTCCCTCAGCGGTGCACAGCACTCCTAATGGTTGCAGAGCACTGATCAGATCATTTCAACTTTGAACTTGATTGCCACTGACTTTTCGACGCAAACTAATTCAGCGGCGCAGGCTAGCAGGGGAGGTAACCATAGAAACAAATCAAGCTAGCTGCTTTCATTGCAAGACCTTGCGCCCAGCATCGCCGTGAGCTGAGAGAAAATCATGTATAATGTTAACGGAGATTTGTTTACAACCTGATGACATTCAAACATAACTTATATTATTGGATTCAGACACACATGTAGTGCTACCAGTCCGACCAGTGTGTCCCAGCGCATTATGAGAATAGATGCCTTAAACCAGGGGTTCCTAACCCCCGGGCCGCGGACCGGTACCGGGCCGCAAAATAGCTGTGAGTTTATCGTAATATTTGCAGAATTATAAATATATAAAAAATATTTGTATCATAATGTTCTTTTCAAAAAGTGTTTTTCGCACCTATAGCAGTCATATTATTTAATCCAGTAGCCTAGTTAAACTTCCACCAGAAAACAGTTGAAAATGGCTTGTATGATGTTCCGAGGGATTCGGCGGCTCAGCCTAAGGTCTCAGCCTCTCGTTCGCACGAGAAAGTTACTGTTGCGCCAAGTAGGAAGAGGAGCGCACAGGAGACAACCGTTTTATTGCAGACTGTTATCTTTATGTGGGGAAATGGCAGTGCATACATTATTTGAGATATATTTCATACTCTGACTTCATTTTATGGACATGTCAGGGGTGTAGAGATATTTGTTTGAGCACCGGATTGGCAAAACAGGAGAGTCTGTAAACCAGTCAGCCTTGATCTATGAATTCATGTCCGGGACTCAGACACACACACACACACACACACACACACGTGTTGTCACGATACCAACATTTTGGTTTTGATACCGATACCAGGTCAAGAATTGCGATTCCGATTCTTTTTCGATTATTTTCTTTTATTATTTTCAGTGGTCTCTTCTTTATACTAGAGTTTATGTGATTTTTTTGATAGTTAACTTTATATTTTATTAACATGTAATAGTACAGTAATATAAATAATTATTGACACAATGTACATTGCAGATGTTAGCCACATTGGTAAGTTAGCTAAAAAGATAGCCATATTAGACAGTTATCATTGCCATTAATTGCCTCGTCAAACTACGAAAACGTTTGTTTGTCACAAAATAAATTACACTTGTTTGACTTAGATTTGAGGGCATGGGCTTGAGCATGATGTAATTATGTTATCACATTCGCTAACCTGTCTGTCTTTAAATTCTTTAAACTGCTATGGATGCCGGTCGGCGAGGTGCTTAGCCAAGTTTGATGTGTTGGCTCCCTTGGTTTGCAGGGATCTAAAACATGTCTTACAGACAGGCCTCGTGGTGTCCGTAGGCTTGCCATCACTGTCATATATAGCTAAAATACTTCGCTTCTGGCGTCTTTTTCGTCAACAAGCCGAGGCGCAGCGGCAGTTGCACTCCCACTTGCAGCCATGCTTCTCGTTTTCTCACATGCTCTGGCAGCTAGCGCGTGCACGAGAGAGGGGAGGGGCTTAGAGCGTGCTGGAGAGGGGCGGGACTGCAGGCACGGCCGCAGTGCAGGGAGTGGAAGCAGAGCGCTGAACAAACACGGCTCTTATTAAAACAGCGCTTTCTCACCGGAGTACTTTCCCCCGTCATTCTTAAAGTACCGATACTAATGAAACGGAGGAATCATAACGTTTTTAACGGCAGGGTATCGCGGTACCTTTCAAGTATCGGTACACCGTGCAACACTAACACACACACACACACACCCTGGCGACCGGACATCTCCTTCATAATGCGCCTTCTCCTCGTTTTCCCAGCATCCACTGGATTGTCCGTAAATCATATAAACAAAACCAACACGTTAATTTATCTGTTTTCCTGTTTTGGTTAAAAAACGGAATAACGTCGGTTTTTTTCTGTTTTTCCGAAAAACCAAAAAAACGGACACCGGTTCTTTTTTTGATTTAAACGTTGTTAATATGTTTTGGATGCATATTGTTCTAGTATTTGTTCTGGTTGTTACATACAATTAGTCTCTGTTGCTACCTGCTGGTGAGTAAATATTCAAATTAAAAACCGGCCCGCGATTCTTTTTTAATGTATCTGACGGTCCTTTGTGCAATACAGGTTGGGAACCCCTGCCTTAAACAGTTCATTCATATACTAATAAAAAGGGTTATCAAAGATAATGGAGCCTTTCTGAACACTCACCTGATGATCGAGCCACTTCTCTGAAGTCATCACGTGTTTCTGAGTTGGGAAGATCAAGTCAGTGCAAAACTTATATCATTCATTGTGGATGATTAAACAATTATCAACATTAAAATCTCCTGACCTTGGTGCAGTCCCCCGTTGTGGCATCACACAGGGACAGTATGGACATGTTCTGAGCCCGGTTCACCCAGCGCACACTCAGCCTGTCCGGCCTCACCCACTTCACCATGGTGACGTAGTACTCACTGGGAAAACACATAGTAATACTAATCAGTGAGCACTATGATGGGAATGTACAGTGATTCAATATCTATGAAGGTTTCCTGGCTATGAAATGTTCTCAGACAGAAGGTTGTCGCCCTGACCATTGTCAGACAATCATCATATGGATACTAGGGTTGTAATTAACATGCTGTGCTTCCCCTTCTGTCTCCCCCCCACCCTTCTTGGGACTGTAATGTGGATTCCCTAGCTGAGACCCCCCCCCCCCTTTTGTCTCCTCTGTATAAATAACATTGCGTTATGTGTAACAGGGTCAGATTTCTTAAGCACACATTGGTGTAGGGTTATCTGTCCTTTCCAGCAGGAAATTTGATGTATTCTGTTAAATGCTATAACTCTATAATCAATGACACAACTTTGGTTTAAGCTTGTATATTTGTTATTTTCTTACCGGAAGGTGATTAAGTGTGGAATTTCCACCACAAGCACTAACTAATACAAAATACTACTAAGGTCCGTCCTTCCTGCAGCATCAGATTTTACAATCACCCTGGTAGACCCCCCACACATATAACAACAAATACTATAACACCCCTGTTGCAGAATACTTCTTATCTGCAATATAAATAATATTCATAAATATTATATATTTAATGGCACCCCTTAGTTAGATCATTACATTTGTTTTCTGTAATAAATATGTATTTGTGCAATATTTACTTGAACCTTTACATACTCTCACCTGGCTGCTAGCTCACAACTGTTACTGGTACTGGATGTGCATTTTGTAAACGTTGTAACTTCTACTTGTATCTTTAATATTTATATGCATGCCTCTTATTTAATATCAAGCTTTCTTTGGCTCTTTACTTGCTGTAACAATGTAAATATCCTCTCTGTGGGACAAACAAAGGTATTCTGATGGTGATTCTGAATAAGCATATTTAAGATGTGTGTAATCATACCTCTTTTCAAAGCAGTCAGGAGGTCTAAGCTCAGTAGTCAGGGAGCTGCCGTCCAGAGTGACCACATACAGTCTGACAGTGGGGTTGATTTGTCCCATCTGCAGGGAGAACAATACAAACGTGCAATTACATTCAAAGGCCTAATCACAATGGATGCAATACCCATGATGCACTGCATCCACTGTAGCGATAACAATAAGCACTGAGCAACACTTCTCTATTCTACACGCCGTTGTCTATTTTTATATGCAGCAACTGAACAATGGCAGAATGGGCTTCAACAGAGAATATAATGAGAATATGAAAGAGAGAACAAACTGAGCTGTTGTTTAGTGTGCAGGCCCTGGGGCAAGTCAGTTGTTTTCCTTCGCTTAAGCCCTCCTCAAAAATAGAGCTCATTACTCTACATGACAGGGGACATCTCCGAAAAACAACATAAACTGTTGCACAATGCAGTATCTATTCCAAACCCTACTCGCTTATTTTTATTGGTCATTGTTAGTGTCTTCTTCAATCCTTTCCGTTCTTTTGGAGGTATAATAACTTTTTAGAATAGCTCTATTTTGTTCTGCTGCACCCATTTTCTTTGACAAGTAATCACCGCTTAAAGTGATGTTAAATGAGAGGATGAATGGCTATCCTTCCCCTGCATTCTAACACAGTGCCACTACCATCTGCATACATGCAACCATTAAAGACACTGTATGGATAAGCTTTTACACAAATACCTTTCCAGGATTATATGTTTAGTAAATGCTCATTTTGGCACTTAATATTTTTTTTTCTCCTAATCATAGTCAACAAAACGACTTTGCAACCATAAAGCCACCTCCCAGAGATAATAAACAAATCCTTAAAATGTTGGATGTTTATTTTTAAAATATTCTTGTTGTAACCAAGGTTACAAATCGAAGAATGCAATATAAACGGTGAAAAATGTCATCAAAATGAATTAGTTCATTTAAAAACATTGCATTATACAGAATGTAAACTATTATGTGAGTTAAATGTCAACTTGTAATCTTAATATGATTTAACTGTACAATTGAAGGTATAAATAAACACTACAAGATAATCAGGGTACTTGCAATAAATCTTAGTTACATTTATGAATTGTTTGGATAATTGTTTTTTATTTTCTTTAAATCCTTGTTTCCTCCAGTAATGGATGCTGTAAAACAGGGGTGGGGAACCTTTTTCCTCTCAAGGGCCATTTCAATTTTTTCAACATCCTCCGAAAGCCGTACAAATGATTGACCTCTGCTTAAAAATACAAAAATCACAGCCCATTCATTTCGCCTTTCTTTCACGCTGTGCAAAGAAAAACCAACCTCTGAATCCAGATATCTTGCCATGACTCGCGCATGCATGCACGTGCACGGTTGTGGCATGACCACCAAAACAGAAAGATATTGGACACAAGATGTGTGCAAATGTATTTAGTTTCCTATCCATGTGATGGGGGACCTAACTTCCTCTAGGGGGGTCCGGGGGGCATACTCCCCCGGGAAGCTTTTTTTTTTAATGTTGAAGTTAAAAGCATCAGTCTGGAGCAACATTATGAGATCTATGGATACATCTCCCAACACCCATATGGAACAGAACTGAAAGCATATTTATTTTTCTTTATGGATATTTTACAAATCACTCCCCTTTTAAACTGTATTCTTTTTTATTAATAACAACTTTTTTATACTGTCATATAGTATTTTATATAGTAGTTTACTTTATTCTCTTATTTGTTTATAACTATAATGATCATATAAAGATGTGCCTTTACCTCACTGGTTGTAGAAAAAGCCTCTTATAGTCGTTAGCATAGCTAGCTAACCAGATGCTAATAACAACAAAGTTATTGACTGTATGATCAGTATGACAGATGAACAGATTGTCACTGGGTTTAAAACTAAAGACACAGCCACGCAGAAACTGCGGCATGTGTACAGCTCCTTATCTGAAGTGCCGGAGCCGCGTTCTGGTGCTCTCCGTCAGAACTTCACCCGTGTCAGACGAGACATATACCACGTGATGACACGTTAGGCTCGTGTTGTGTTCAAGGACCCTGACCTTGGCCAGGAAAAACAGGTACTCGCTTGCGTTGGTCTGTAATTATTTTGCTGCTTTTTAAAGTTTTTTACTATACCTAGCATAGTCTTTGTTATACTTTTCTTGATCAGCTGAATCATACAGTCCAAATAACTTTGTTGTTATTAGCATCTGGTTGCGCTAGCTATGCTAACGACTATAAGAAGGTTTTCTAAACCAGTGAGAAGGCACATCTTTATATGGATTTTTCCCATGGTATAGTTGATTCTAATAATACAATATTACCTCGAGGAAGAAAGTAACAGTTATCTATTATATATCGAGATTCTCACTACGGATAGAGATATCACCACACGATTCGTGTCTAGTTAAATAAATGATGCTGACGAGAATACATTCCAAGATATGTACTACCATAGGGAGTGTTTAGAAATAGAATATCACAGTATAGAAGAAAATACATTTGGATTCACTGCTTATCAGTTCTCTTTGCTTATCTTGGCATAATGGTGTCAGGTGCATGGTATGTTTCGATGATCCTACATATTATCCTCTTTCAGATGTCCTCGCTGCAGCAACGATCTTTGTGGGCTATATTTTCATTTTCAACTCTACATGTAGAACAAACCATAGGTATTAACAGCTGCTCCGTGTCCGCCCTGTGTGTAGACCCGCTCGCGACCGCGCAACAATACCTCGCCTGTCAAGGAGGAAGTAGAGGTTAGTGTGAACGCCCCCAAATACAAGGCGATTGATAGGGAAACTAAATATAACATTTGTAATCAATTATTAAGTACAGGCTTGAGACTGAACTGCAAGAGGGGATTGCCAATATAAATTTTTTGTTCTAGGTTGGGTTTCAGAGCTGGAGCGGGTCCAATGTTCGCACAAAAGCCCCGGTGGCATGCTGTGCGTATTCATGCAAATGCGGAGTGAGCAAACTGGGACGACGTTCAGAGAGCGGGGAGCACGGGGAGAGAGATATCCGGCATGGTTACGCGCGCGGAGGTTGATTGTTGGTCTTTCTGCGCACGCGCGGCGATGGCAGAAGAGGAGGCAGGAATTAGTTGAGATGGAGTGGGCTTGTCATTTTCAGTAGATAGTTTGTTACACAAGAAGAGGTCAATGAGGTATAGAATATAGTGGATTCGGTCTGTTTACGGAGAGGATCGTTGAAGATAGAATTCGCAATGGAGGCGCTTTGAGATGCGCAATAGTGTGTATTCGCGTACGACACCTCGCGCATTGTGATAAGCATCTAGGTAAATCGGGGGGAACAAGGTTTTAAGGAGGAATAAATAAAAAAACCATTATCAAACAATTCATAAATGTTAACTAAGATTTATGCAAGTACCCTGATTATCTTGTAGTGTATTATTTATCCTCAATTGTACCCTTAGTTAAATCATATAATGGGGATTACAAGTTGAAACATTTAACTACATAATGGTTTGATATCATATTCGCTGCTATTAATGCGATATGTTTTGTGAATTGTGAATGCACTATAAGTCGCGTTATTGCACGCCAGTTCTTGAAGCGATGTGTAGTAGTTGTTGTCTCATCTGTACTTGGTTAGAGCAACAATCGGGAAATTAAGGACAAGAATCCTAACACCAACGCCATCTTGACAAGGGATTATGATGCATATTATCTATCTCTCGTGCGATTCGGATGGCCGCATCACTATTACACGTGTGTGTATTGAGTATCCAAGTCGGTTTGTGTTCGGTGACGTAGCATGTATTATAGTCGAAGACGGGTTCTAATTACGAGGATTATGATGGGCAGAGGTCGTCCTATTTCACAATTGTGCAGCCATGATTATCTCGAAACTTAGGTGTCATTTGCTCTGGACGTCATCGCGGTTGGCGCGGTCCAATGCTAGTGTATTGATTGCCCGTGTATCATGCTGTTCCATATAAGCTAGATATGCCGTCTGCTGAGAGCACGCATGCGTCAAGTTGACGCAACCTCGGTATCAAAACAACAATGGCCGATGTGCTCAGGCTTCCTTGCCCTCTTCGGAAGACCAGATTCCCAGTAGGTAGTGGTCTCTTTAGTGGACCACAGCTCTGCTTGTAAGTTTTCCTATTGTTGTGTACAAACTGGATTAAAACGCAGGCTTTTTTGTTGTTGTTCGGTTGATCCCGCCCCTGCCTCTTCTGCTTCTCACCTCGGATTGTAGCGTTACGTATGTGTGCTTTTGCTCTAGCCGGCAAATTTTCTGGTGCTTGAAACGAACCGATTCCGGGCTAAGAGGCTGCTCCGCTGCCACGGTGTGAACAGGAAATACCCGGTGTCTCAAGCTCTCAGCTCCGAAGCCGGCCCTGAAACTTCCTGTTGGTTGTGATATGAGGTACAGATCGAAAAAAAATACAGAAGGTGGATAATGAGTGAGGCAGACTTTGTAGACCTTTAACATATGGGCCTCAATGTATAACTCGGTGCTTACGCTCAAAGATGGCATACGCCTAGTTTCTACGTTGAATGTTGCGATTTATTTAAAACAAACTTGGACAGGAAACTGTGCGATCCTCCACGCAAACTGCTGACCCCATTGGCGTACGCTCTAGCACAAAAACGGGAGGACGGAGAAACTGGCGTTGGAGAAGGGGAAAGGGGAATGGATCGAGAAATATGTGGAAAAATAATAATAATGTTACCTCTCATTGTAGCATGACGAATTAATGCCCAATCTTAAAATGATTAAACACAGCCTGTTGCGACTCCTCGAG